AGCCTTCATGCTTTGTCATCCTCTCTCCCAGAAGACTTACTCCAGAGGTATTTAGTCCATTAACCTTTTTGCAAATTCATTGTTCTGTTCCGCTGTTGTGTGAGTGCCTGCATTACTGTGTTGTTTTTCCACACACCAATTGTAAGAATTTACACCCAAGGCAATTCACTTACTTACCTTAGTATGACATCCAAAGGAATAGACTTTAAGAGCTTCCCAAATGCTTGCCTTATCCGAGCAACACTGTGGACCAGTTGGACGCGGCAAACATCGACACACCTGTGCCACAAAACAGTGAAAACAACACAGTAATGCAGGCACTCACACAACAGCGGAACAGAACAATGAATTTGCAAAAAGGTTAATGGACTAAATACCTCTGGAGTAAGTCTTCTGGGAGAGAGGATGACAAAGCATGAAGGCTGTTGCACGCTTGGAGACAAATGTTAACATCTTCCAAGAGAGCTGCGTTTTGGAATTAAGGCAGTTTTATTATCCACCAGAATGATACTATCCGTTTATCTTTTAGCAATGACTGTTAATATGAAAGGGGTATTTAAGAGTAACCAATGGCAATAGTTGTATTCAGTTTCCTCAATTTTTACACCTCTTAATTCCTAGATATCTTCCATTTAAGTTACTTACTATAACCAACCTATGGAAAACTAAAGTATTCAGTTTGCAGAGGGGTAAAATGTATTTTTATCAGATCAGATACATTTATATGCATTAGGTTATTAAGAATATAATTTATATTTTGGCAAGACTTTAACTAATGGAAATAATGAATGAATGGCAATTTATGCTATGTTGTTACTATAAAATGTTCGCAATAAAATTTTCTAACAACAGATTCACAAGAAAATTGGTACACATTTTGCTTATCCCTTTTTAAATTAGAAAAGTCAAACTCTTACTGTTTGCCAGAAGTCCTTTGCAAAACTTATGGAAGGAGGGGAGAGAGAACAAGGGCGCATAGGTCTCTGATTTCTTCATCAGAACAGCTACTTCCAAAGCCCAAGTCATGAGCAATTTCCTAAAAAACAGAAACATTCTCTTCAATTTTTATATTATGTATCTATGCTTTTCTCCAGAGTAGCCGTGCTTTTCACAGATGGCAGTCTCAAACGACAACTTTTAAGCATGTTAGCTATGGAATTCTGGGGGTTGAAGTCCACATGACCTTAAAGTTGCCAACCTTGAAAAACACTGCTCTGGAGTTAAAATTTTGATACCCAAGATTTAAATGAAAAACAGGCACATATTACAAACATGCAGGAATCTAATTCCTCTTCCTGAGAATACTAAGGAAAACATCCCTTAAATATTTCAAGTTTCTTCCCTGACCTCTTTTCACGTCCACTGATATTTCACTATTATTGCTCATTTTTCTAGAGAAAACAATTATTCTGACAGGATGAAGCTACTAGTTACCTGGTATCATGGGTCAGATTATCCTTTTTAAGTAAAAGTCCCAGGAGGTTTACAATGATAGAGAAATGTTTCTTTGTAGCTGTGGTCACAGTGCTTATGACAGCCCCATCAAACAAAGAAGGAGATGAGGAGCTGAGACTGCTAGATATGAAGTGGTCATGCCTGGAAAAGGGAGAGAGTTAGAGTTTACGAGCCGCGGTGGTGCAGTGGTTAGAGTGCAGTACTTCAGGCTACTTCTGCTGATCACCGGCTGCCAGCAGTTTGGCAGTTCAAATCTCACCAGGCTGAAGGTGGACTCAGCCTTCCATCCTTCCAAGGTGGGTAAAATGGGGACCCAAATTGTTGAGGGCAAGAGGCTGACTCTGTAAACCACTTAGAGAGGGCTGTAAAGCACTATGAAGCGGTATATAAAGCTAAATGCTATTGGTATTTTAGTCATACAACCAGGCTGTATATACTGTGTATTTTGGGGGGGAGGGGATATGTGCTGTAGTATAGCCTGACAGTGTTCAGAAATGTTAAGATTGTTGAAATTCAAACCTCAACTTTTCCACAGAATATTATTGGAGCATCTTCATTCGCTACCTTCTGCAGCATTGATAGTCCCACTATGTAGACCAGACCAAGAAATCAACTCCCCAAGGCGGCTGTTTAAAAAGAATCTTGCCCTTTGATTTTGCTTTACTCTCCTCCTCTCCAGCTTATCTTATACTCATGTAAATAAGGGGGGGGGGTTGTTGGCTTGAGTCACCTGCACACATCCTTGTTTTTTATTTAAGCCATGTTTTCCCCTTACAATGAGACTAGTCCAGAGGTCTTCAAACTTGGCAACTTTAAGACTTGTGGACTTCAACTCCCAGAATCTGGAAGTTGAAATCCACAAGTCTTAAAAGTTGCCAAGTTTGGGGACCCCTGGTCTAGTCTATTTTCTTCCCCACTCTCTATGTATCAATCCTTCCCCCTCATCACTAGTGTTTCTCCTCTCTTGAAAGGCTACTTCTTGAGAACCGGGCATCTCGTTTCCTTCACAGGGGGGGGGGGGGAAATGCAAATTCTAAGCTTCCCCTTTTTAATTCTTAGAAAATGCATGAGTTCTCCCATCCAGCATGTGCAAAGCCTTGATTATCCTTTTTTTAAATAATCCTTATATTTTGCAACGGGGATCTTACAGTACAGCCTCTCTTTTATCAAACAAGGGAGATCTTGGAGAATGCACAATAGCACTGACAGCGAGGACTGTTTTATGAGTCCAGGAGGGACCTCCTGCTAGGAGAACAAAATAGAAACTGTTTGTAAACTGATGTAAGTACCAGCGTTTCCTATTAAAAGAACAAACCGCTTCGCACCTGGTGCAGTGTGAATACAGGGTGTACAGCACTGCATACTGGACAGCTGGAAAATGGACGGCGATGTCGCCGTGGGCAACCATCAAATTCTTGCTCAGCAAAGCGAAGACCGTTGGAGACAGAGCCCACATCTGAAAAACAAGCCATACTAGAAGGTAAAGCATAAATCGAAATTACAGTGGTACCTTGGTACTCATCATGAATTGGTTCCAGGAGGCATGATAAGCACCAAAAAAACAACGAGTACCAAACAGATTTTCCCCACAAGGAATAATGTAGTAAGTCACAAGGTAGCCGATGACAAGTTGTAGCTTGTGCATTGAGTACCAAACAAACGATGAGTACGGGGACAAAATGTGTCAAAATGCATTGAGTACCAAAATCGATGAGTTTCAAAGAAAATTGAGTACCAAGGTATCATTGTATGTTCCAACAAGAATTAGGGTTGAAAATGAAAAAATATAGAGTAAGATTTTCTAGAACCCTCTCCGTTAATAAATACAAAGGCTAGAGGAAATTGTGAAAAATATCTTACAAATTGTGATATAAAGGAGGGGTCAGAGATGAACCTGGATACTTTACACATTTTTTTTTAAAAGCCAAAACAACTAGACACACTCCCTCGAGCCATCACTCTGCTGAACACCTAATTCTCATAGTACTGTCTAATGTCGATGTGTATTTAACCCATGTAATGTGGCTGTAGTATTATTTATCCTTCTTACTATCTTCTTTACTCCCCCACTTATTGATGCTATGATAATGATAATTATCCTTGTTCTGTTGCTTTGCATGTACACTGAGAGCTTCTCTGCACTGGAGATATTTTTTTTCTATATTTCCAATACGAAGGGAAACATACCAATGCAGAGACATACAGGAAGAACACAAGACCTACTCACTGAAGGGCTTCTAAAAATAAATAAAGCTATTTTATCCTTTTTTGTGAACATGTAATTATGTATTTTTTATTCCACTACTAACATTGCAGAGCTTAAGATAAACAAATTGACTTTTTTTTCTAAACTACTTCTCTAGAACTTTAGAATTAAAAGCCTGGAGATTAAAACACATGAAGAATGGTTGCAGGATTTGGGTTTGGCCAGTCTACAGAAAAAAGGGACTAGGGGAGACACGATAGCAGTGTTCCAGTATTTGAGGGGCTGCCACAAAGAGGAGGGGGTCAACTTATTTTCCAAAGCACCAGAGGGCAGGATAAGAAACAATAGATGGAAACTAATCAAGGAAAGAAGCAACCTGGAATTAAGGAGGAGCTTCCTAATGTGAGAACAATTAACAAGTAGAACAGCTTTCCTCCAGAAGTTGTGTGTGGTTCATCACTGAGGGTTTTTAAGAAGAGACTGGACTGTCACTTGTCTGAAATGGTATAGGGTCTCCTGCTTGAGCGGAGGGTTGGACTAGAAGACCTCCAAGGTCCCACAGAGATACATTTACTTTGTGCGATGGGTGCAAGGCTGATTTACGTTTTCCACATACGCATCAGTTTGGGAACACAAAAACCATTCACCACCCCAGCGGTAGAGATAACTCACCCCAATCAATGAATTTTTGGCATTTCCGATTGTAGTCAGCGCACTGAGATCAAATATGACGACAAACTTTGCATTGGCCACATCAAAAATGTGGTTCTTGAAAGCATCGTGGAGAATTTCCGAGCAAGCTTGGGGAAGCTGCAGGCTGCAAAGGAGACTGTTCAAGGCGCATGCCATTTCGCCCAGAATCAACTTGTAGGCTGTTTCCAAAACGGGAATGTTCTTTAAGCTTAGCACTGCCTGATATACAGCGTGTGCGGCAGCGACAACCTTGAAAACAGAAAAATACATGATGTCAGGAAGGTTCATTAAATGCCCATTAAATGTTTCCTATAACTCATGTTGATCCAAGTCATACTTCAAGCCACAGTTAAAGTTTCTTTTTCTATTGCTAGATGCAACGTCTCAGCTGCGACTGATTTGCTGATGCAAGAATAAAACGATAAGAGGTGTTCTCTTAATCTAAAGGTTATTCTTAAAACAAAATCTTCTAAAGGCTCATTTCATGTGGCGTGAAATTTAATTTGCTGCTTACCTCTTTTTCTTTGTGGTAGCGGAGCGTAAGAAGCTTAGATTCTGGTATAAACAATTTCTCTATAAATGATGATGGAAGTTTTGTATTTATTTGTTCAACAATCTAGGAAAAACAAAAGGGGGCATTAGTATTACTTGAGTAAACTTTCCCTTTGACTTAAAACATGGACTGTGAATTCTTTAAAATGTTGTTTCCTATTAAACCAGTGTGTTTCTTCATTTATTCATCAAACAAAAGTTACAAATTTGAATGAACTAAATGTAAAAATAAATATGTGACAGAGGTGATAGGCATGTTACGGCACTTACGCACACCCCCTTAGGAACCTCTTAAATGTGGGATGAGATCCACAAAATGTTGCAATTAAAACTATGAAAGTTAGTAGCTTTTGTCCATCAAATCCCATTTTTCCTGGATGGAAAATCCAGGGCAGCCCTCTCATTTGCTCCTTATTTTCTACTGCTTATTAGTAGCAGAAGATTTCTACTTGGCTTACCAATTCTTTTAAAAATAATGTTTTATAAGCCCTACAAATCGTTATGAAGGACCTGTGAAACATAATTCAACAGCAATCATTGGCATCAAACTATAGCAAAGCATATTTAGTTCATATTCCCAAGTGGTCTTATTAGTGTTATTGTGTCCAGTAGGAAAGATATTGTTTTTTCTTTATTATGTACAGAATATAATTTGTATCATTAACAGTATATGCTAAAGGAATTGTCCATCCTGACGAGAACAATCCCAGTTTTTAATAGCTAGCAAAGACTAATTTGTTTAAGACCATAACATGTATTCCTTAAAGCTCAAACAAAGCCAAAGGAATAACTTTTGGTTTCCAATTTACTTTTTTTAAACCACTTGTGGCCTTACATTTTTTTAAATGAATGAAAGTTATTATTAAATGCAGATATTATGAGGATTGTATTTACCAGCATCAATAAGTTCAACACCGAGATAATATAATCAGTACCACAAATCTGACAATTTTCAAGTTGATCTAATCCATAAGTGATGATCATATCGCAATGTATATTCATGCTGGGATCCAGGCTGCCAAGCAACACACCGACACACTCATTGGCAGCAGTCAATACCGTCTCAGAGAAAAAGACCTGGTTGGCAGCTGTCACACACCTCATTACTCTGTACAAAACCTGAAGAAAGGGGGGGGGGGGGAGAGAGAGAGAATCCAGTTACAATGAAAGTACACTATGTCATCCCTTTGAACTCATGCTGAAGATATTTTGATCTAGCACATTCAATTTTTTGTTAATATGCGCCAACATGTTAAGTCACTGTAAACGCAACAGAAGTAGCCCCAAGGGAAGTTTGTTGCAACTTTAGACAGTCATGTTGAGGGCTAAATATACACAATGAGGTGTGGTAAATGAAAGCAACACATTTTTCCAGTTTCACACAGGAAAACAGGTCACAATTATTAAATGTTTAGATTGCCATATTTTTCATAGTATAAAACACACTTTTCCTCCCCCCAAAAGTGGGTGGACCTGTCTGTGCGTCTTAGACTCTGAATATTAAGGGGGGGGGGATGTGGGTTAGTGTGGTGCCGATCAGCTGTTCTAGAATTGGCGGCGATGAAGACGAATGGGCTGCTGTGAATTGGCCATGACAACCGGGCCGTGGCAAACGGGCTATGCCAAACGGGCTGCGCCGAATGGACCACGGTGAACGGGCGATGGCGGTGGCAAATGGGCAGTGGCGAATCGGCGGCAGCAAATGAGCCATGGTGAACGAGCCATGCCAAATAAGCCAGATGACTACCAGATGGATGCTGGGAGACAGAGGCAGATTATTTCCACCTTGTTTTCCTCCCCCAAAACTAGGTGCATCCTATGGTCCGGAGAGTCTCGTAGTCCAAAATATACCGGTAGCTTGGTGTGATTGGGCAATGAAACTGCTCAACCACCTGAAAGAGACTTACATCGGTTACGTATCCTTCAGTAATCGGCGGCCCTCGGATGGGACTGAACCGCTCTCCAATACTCCTCACCACTGTGCTGAACACGCGAAGCAGAGCTGCCAGTTTGGGCAGCGAAACAGAAGGAGGAGGAATATCCTCGTCAACGGACTCTCCGGAAGCGACGTGCCCGAGGTCCTATGTGAAGAAATATGTAAAGACGGTGCTCGTTGAGGTGACGGTGCTCAGGTTGGCGGGCTGTGCACTTTTAACGTACACATCTCTCTGCTTACATGCATTTCTTTTCATGTCAGTAAAACCTGTACAGACTTTAGTGATCCGTTTAAACTCTACAGGAGTTCAGCAAGGGAGTGTTTTAAAGAAGTGTTTCTCAGTTTTGTCAACTTTAAGGTATGTGGACTTCAACTCCCAGAATTCCCAGCCAGCAAGATCGAGTTGCCATGGTTGAGAAACACTCGTTTAAACCAATGTTTTCTTTTTCTTTAAGTTTTTTATTTTTTTTACAAAAATATCAATGCGTGAACATTGTGGCACCTGGGTGTCATACATTCTAATACAAATAAAACATAGTTATTACTTTCAACCAACTTATATATTTCTAATGGCAATACATATTTATATAAAGTTGCAATCTGTCATTATTTGATGATTCCACGTTTTCTCTTATTATTGCTCTTATTTTATTATATAAAAGTATATACACTAATATTCCCCTTTTCTCTTATTTCTATCTCTTATTCTTTTAATGTCACCATGTTTTAAAAAAAAATTCTTTCTATCCTACCTAACTTCTAATCATGTCACCTACCTACAAACAAACAAAAAAGGAAGGAAAGAGAGAAGAAAAAAGAAGCAAATCAAAACTCATTTAAACTAATCTTGTGGGATAAGTTTAAAGAACAAAGCAGATAATTCGTGGACATAAAGGTCTGCAGAGATTTTCAATCGTCCAGGTTGTGCCAGAGATGTTTTCCCAAAAGGCATCTGGAACACACACACACACACACACACACACACACACACACACACACGGGAGACGTTTTGCTTCTCATCCAAGAATCTCAAAACTGAATAAACTTTTTGGATGAGAAGCAAAATGTTTTCAAGTGGGGGAGGGAATCCAAGAAAGTCAAAATTCCCTTTTGGGAAAGCACTGTTGGGACATGATGTAAAGAGGTATAAAAGAGGAGAGCCCTTTCTTAAGAGTGAAAGAAGATCCTTCAGGGAATTAGCTAGTGTTCACCATATTCACAACACTTTCCGACACAGACACAGGTAAGAACTTGAGTTACCTCCTAGAAAGTGTCTCACTTTTCTCTCCCCCCCCAGCATTTATTCCAATTCAAGACTGATGGCCTCATTACCTCAGCATAAGCTTCCATATCCTCTAGAAACTGACCCAGGAGTGTGGTAGAAAAGGCCAGGTCAGCGACCCAAAATGGTTCCAAACTCTGTAACCATCCTGTTAGAAAGGGCCGGAGCAATGAAAAACATGGTAAGGTTAAAGCTACATCTGATTCCTCTAAAAATAATAATAATAATAATAAAGTGGCATCAAAATTAAGCAAGCAAAACTAGCAGCGCTCATAAACCATGCATCGTGTGTGAATGACTGTGCAGAAAAATTAAATAAATACTAGTCACATTTTAGTTAATAGTCTCTATAATGGTATAAACAAACTAAATTATAGTTTTGGTAGGCAACAGCTTTAGAAATCAAAAACACCTATTACAGCTATTCAAGAGGAGGGAGGAGAAGGAAGGAGGAAGAGGGAAGGAAGGAAAGAGGGAGGGAAGAGAGAAAGGGGGAATGGAGGGAGGGAGGGAGGGAAGAGAGAAAGAGGAAAGGGAGGGAGGGAGGGGAGGGGAAGGAAGAGGGGAGGGAGGGAGGAGAGAAAGAGGGAGGGAGGAATAAAGAAAGGAAGAAGAGAGGGAGGAGAGAAAGAGGGAGGGAGGAATAAAGAAAGGAAGAAGAGAGGGAGGAGAGAAAGAGGGAAGGGAGGGAAGAGAGGAAGAGGAAAGGAAGGAAGGAGGGAAGGAAGGAGGGAGGAAGATGAGTGGGATGAAGGAAGAAAAACAGGTAGGATACTGATCAAAATGAAATTTAGTACAGCCAGATTTTATTTTCAATAAACTAAAATATTTTAACTGAAACCTTGCAAGCAACAGCATTTCCTTTGTATGCACTAACTGATGTAAAGCAGATATGAGAAATAACTCTTGATCACCCAACAAGGAAATCAGAGCACGTTACAGGGCATCTCATGAAGTTATTTTATTTTTCAGGCTTACCTGAGACTTGCTGGGTCAGAGAAGGTTTTTGAGTGTGATCAATATGCCACCCAACTAATATGTCAACTGTGTCCTTGGAAAGCAATACACAAAAGTTAATCCACCTGGAACACACAATGGGCACGTAAGACATAAAGAGAGGGCAAGGCTCTTACCCTAAAATTGGTGCTGAAAATGTGAGGATAACAACGAGACACAAGAAGGATGCACTTGACACATTTACACAGCAATTCGGGGGTATCCACATTCTCTAGGATAGACTGCAGGCTAGTCATGACGAGCTTTGAGAGAGGAAGGGAAAAAAAAACATACAGTTCTGGAAATCCATGTAAAACAAGCATGGCTGCAACCATCCCAAAAGCAATAAATCGAAGATGAATGCAGCGTCTATTGTATAATTCACGTAAGTCATTCAATCCACTAAGAAGCACAAAATTGTAAATTGTCAGCAGCAAGGATAGAATGAGCTGACCTTTATTCATTTTGAGCCTGTACTTTTGATCCACTCTATTCCATGGAGAGAGGGAGAGGGGAAGGGAGGAAGAGGGGGAGAGAGAGAGGGAAAGAGGGAGGGAGGTAAAGGGGGAGGGAGAGGGGGGAGGGAGAGGGAGAGAGCTGGAGTGGTGCAGTGGCTTAGAGATGGAACTCTCACCTCACAATCAAGAGGCTCTAAGTTCAAACCTAGGTAGAGGCAGATATTTCTCTCTGGGCACAATGAGAATATATCTGCTGAACAAAACTCAGCATTGGCGACAGGAAGGGCAAACGGCCAGTAAACACTCTGCTAGCTCCATTCAGTTGCCCAAACTCCACCCCGCAAGGAATTATGGGGATGTTAAAAGAGAGAGAGAGATGGATGGATGGATGGATGGATGGATGATTGATAGATAGATAGATAGATAGATAGATAGATAGATAGATAGATAGATAGATAGA